ATAACTAAACTCCACACATTCGGACAATTTTTGACATATCCCTTTTTCAACATGATTCAATTAAATAATGATGACATAAATATCTCTTCTCATATTATGTTACCAATAACTTACCGTTATGAGCCTTACGTAAAATTTGTAGAAGGACATTGATATGCTTGAGTTGAACCGAAAACAACAATCTTTTATCTTCCAGAGAAATGAATGGCATAGAGTGTTTGTTTTCAACTGTGAACTTCCGTTAGAGAACCGCCGGTTGAAAAGAACTTTTTTTTAGAGATAGGTAACACTAGAAGGGGTTATTTCATATATGAATAATTTGATATTTATCATTTTGATAACACCAAGTGTTCTCTCTTGATTTGTATGTGATCAAATTTGCTTTTGATATCTTATTCAACGAATACTTTCCAACTACAGAAATTATTAGAAAACTGATTCTGGAAATGGTACATGTTTTCTTGAAATAGGTACGTACAATTAAGTACTTCTCTATAAGAGCACCTTGAAAAAGTATACAAATCTTTGATAGGATTCATATGTAGTGCTGTAGAAACTGAATACTCACATGCATGATGGTACCCTTTTTCTCACCAATGAAATGGATGGGAAAATGCTTTGAGCAAATGAAAGCATCATCAGGCAGATAATTTCCTGACAGCATTCATCCACTATTTTCTCTTGTTTTCATCCTATAAATTACAGATTTTGATCAGGTACAATGCACAAATAAAACCATTCAAATCACCAATTGAGAACAAGGAATTGCTTGGTTTGTTGGTTGCAATGGTTGCTTGGAATTCTATATGCTAACAATTCCTACAAGTATATATTTAAGAGAACATTAGGTTTCTCATCAAACATGAGTAGTCTTTTAACCACCCAATAATTTTTTTTTATACAAGTCCACAGTACAGTACAACAACACCCTCGCGTTCTACAATAATTTTCCACAGGATTTCAAAAACATACAACATTCTGTTAGGATTGGGGAACTATTTGTTTGACATGGAGCCCTACTCAGTCAGTGATTTTCAAACTTAATCTATGATTTAATAATTGTTGATATGTATAGATTTAATTTTTTATTTGTTTAAAATTTTATGCTGATATTAATTTCATGATATTTCAGATGGATGTTAAATTTTATGTAAGTGTAAACTTACTTACTTCTCATAATAATTCTGTAGAAATGCAATAAATCTATCTGCATACTGTAATATTCATCTGTAGGTACCTATATATGACTCTATGAGTAGACTTTTCTTGCAACTAGGTAATAAGTTGTATTAAAAAAAAAATTAAAAAAAGCACAAGTGAATGTTTATTTTCAATTTGATATTATGATTAAGAAAGTAGCAGAAGGTGGATTTGAAAGGGTGAAGGATTATTCAAAATATGAAGTTTGTTTTTGGTGTAGGCTGAAACAAACATATACTTTATCCTTGCTGGATTGACAGTAATTATAAAATGTTTCGTTTACCTTTGGCACTGAATACAGATGATTACTCGAATTTTTACATTTTCCACACAAAATACAGAATTGTCCCATTTTACAAAACGTATCCTTATAGGTACACTATATAAAACTATTCCTTATTACTACTGAAAAATGTAACCGAACTAAAATACCAGAGAACTAACGAACGAAAACTATAATAAAAAATACGAACAATGTAAAGATTGGGATGACAAAAAATATCAATTTCAAAATACTAAAACTTGAAAACTCTTTGGAAAGAAAGTTTTTGGCTTTCTACTACTCCATCTGATACAAAAAAATGGATGAGAGAATTTTCCAAAGAAAGGAAGGAAGTAATCAATTTGAAAATAAGTAACTCTATACATGGATGTGTAGATCATGCAAAGAAGTAACTTTCAGACACAAACTGAAAGAAAGTCCTCCTGAAACAGCTACTTTCATATAAACATTGAATTACACGAAAGAAAAAAAAATCTTTCGAAACAAATACTATATGAATACTGAATTATACATAAGATACTTTTCTCTACTCAGTTTGTATTTCAAACATTCGTTGTTCACATGAGTTCTACTTTGAAAGAATGGTAATGAATTGCACTTACATGGAACGCTGTCACCCTCATTGTCATTGTCAAAAATTCTTTTTGACAATTGTCATTGTCAAAAATTCTTTTCGACAATGACAGATCATAATTAATTTGACTGACTCAGCGGGTACTCGAACTATTCAGAATAGCGCCATCTTGGGAAAACTCTCGTAAGTATAGTTAACAGCAACAGGTGGTTTCTTCAAAAAGTTCAAAACAAAATCTAAGCGTTGCCAACACCAGGGTTTCTAGAAATCTTATTTACAGCTCACGTGTTTTGTTTAAAGTCACATTTAAAGTTCTTGCTGGTATTTAATGTATATGATACACTTGTAACAGAATTTATTTGTATCTAGGTATATCTATTGTTAATAATAAAACTTCCTTGAAAATTGAATAACCATGTTTTGTTTATTGCTATTTGGTCAAAAAACACTAGTGTTGAAAATATTTTTAACACGCTACTTTGTAAACATAATATCTTTTAATACTCTTGACAACCATTACAAATGTCGCTTTTAATGACAATTATACAAAACTAATTTTCGTTGTGCTCATTTCGAAGTGTAGCATTAATCTTTCGAGATGGAACAAGTTATAGAAACGATTTTCAATTTTACGAAAGTTCGTAAAAAGCCAAAAGAAGCAGGTCTGGCTATAATATCAACTATTATAGAATACTATGAAATAAGTAGTACCAAACTAGTGGAAGCATATAAATTCTTTGTAATTAGAATGGACTTGAATTTGAGAAACAAAAAACCTCTAATTCATCGTCTTATCGACTCCGACTCTGACATCAGCGATCTGGACAGCGACGATATTATGTCGGGCAAAGAAAGCCAAGCGACAAAGGCCCCAAAAAAGAGGAAAAAAGAGCCAGAAACGGCTCAACAAATCAAACAGTTAAAACCCGGTTTTTCCCAGACTAAATAAAACTACACCCGCCTTATCACAAAAGCCGGGCGTGGCACTGGAAGATCAAATTCAAAAGCCCACTCAGAAAACTGAGTCGGCAAATATAGATGAAACAGAAGTCCCGCCACCTGACTCAATGGAAGTAGGCGACGAAGAACTAGTAACAGACGCTTCGAAAAATTACCGGGCAAAAACACGCAAAAAAGCGGATAAACCTCCACCCATAACCATCCGCGCAAAAGAGAAGTGGAAAGCTTTTTGCTGCGCAAAACATCTCCATATTGTGGGCGGTGAACACAACAGATGGAATTAAAGTCCACCTTAAAAATACAGATGATTATAGGAGAATTACTCGGATCCTCGATCAAGAGAAAATACCCTACCACACCTATACAATGAAAAGCGGTAGTAGTTTTTCGAAAGTAGTTTTTCGCAGGGTCCCGGAATCCATAGAGTGTGAAGACATTAAGACTGAACTCCAGGGCAAAGGATTTGAGATCCTTTCCGTAGCCCGCCTGAGTAAAGCTAACAAGGTACCAATACCGTTCGTGCTTGTTTTAGTTCCAAGGAGCCAAAACAAAATATATGAGATAACCGAAATTCAAAACGTGCGTATAAGCGCCGAAACACAAAAGCCGAGAAACCGAGCAGGGCAATGTTACAGATGCCAAAAGTTCGGTCACACGCAACGCAACTGTAAAGCCTGCGTTAGATGTGCCAAACTGCACGTGACCCAGGAATGCAACAGACCTAAAAACTCGCCCTTGCGATGCTTTAACTGTAAGGGAGAACACACAGCGGGCTTCCATGGGTGTCTAGAACTCCCTGAAAATAAAAGGGCCTCAGATAGGCCGAACGAAAACAGACAGACCACAAACCCAAGGCCTGTCGGAAGAAACTCAATCAGGAGCGACGTCTCGTATGCGAGGGCCGTCTCATCGTCAGAGAACGCCTGCAGCTCTCCCGAAGGTCTCCCAACGGCCTTAGGGCAGCTGCAGGCGCTTCTAGTGAAGTTTCCAGTACTGCAATCCATGCTTGCCGGAAAATAAAACAAGAAACAGTGCCTAAACGGCCACAAAGCCAAAGAAATACGCTGCGACTTCTACACACAGGGCAAAGAGCCAAAAGAAGACGACAGACGACCATGCAATCCCCTGTCGCCACGCCACAGGAACCCAAGAAAATGTCAAATAGCCGAAAGGATAAGGGGCCTTAGGCCCATAAATCTGACTTCTATTTTATTATGAAAACAGGACAAAAAACTTTTGTATGATTAACGCCACGAACGTTTCGCAAACTTTTTCACTCACAAAATAAAACCACACTTTTAACACTCATATCATAAAAATCCATTCTTTAGGAATTTCTCCATCAGAACGCTGGTGGGAGCTAATAAAATTTTTAATGAATTATCCAATGAAAGGTAATCACTTAATTACAATAAGTTTCTATGAGAAAAGACGATTTAATTTATTATACGTTTGTAGAAATTTGGGGATTGGATCAGGTGTTTTAGGATACCACGTCAAGTCGTTCTGTAAAGACTTATCAATCGTCATTACCAAGATGTAATATTTTTTTCATGAATTCCACTAGAACGACGATCCTTCATTGAATCGATAGCTGGTCTGAAGAATAGATAAGCCAATATAGATTGATATGATGATATGTAGCTGAAAACTTGTGTCGAAATATAACTATCGTGTGGAATCTGCCTTAATAAGCAATTTTTCCTACAATTAGAGCGGTCAAGATGCATCAAGAATCCTTGTTCTTTATGATGTATTTCAATTATATGGATCTCAATATTCCCGAAGATGATACTATATAACGAAACACGTGTCGCGGTTTTGTAAACGTTCAAGTGGAAATCTCATATAGTGTATTTTCTGAATAAGTTCAGAATAACTTTTTATGAGTGAGTCGGAGTCAAATATCTCCATTCATATTTCCCTCCTAACCTCACTTATATTGTGATGAATGAACCGAAAGTAAATAAAAATTGAAGAAAATGATGAACTGAACTTTGAACCGTGATAACGAAACTTCAGTATCTACTCGTTCATCGGTCACTTGGGGTTTGCTAAAGTGTAGGTTCTTCACGTAATCATCTTATTTGCATCCAAAATTTTGGCTACGCTATATACTCAAAGATGACTTCGATTGTGAAAGGTAAACTTTTTTTAAATAACAATGTTTATTGGTGACTAGATCTCTTATCAGTCATTCATAAAAATTCCTCTTCATACCTAAAGAATTTCACCTAAGTGATGTGAAAAAGGATTATCAGATAATTTGTTCTATTGATGACATATTTATTTTGTAGAAATTCATATTGAACTAACTTTTGTCTGATTTCTAATAAGTTTTTCATTTTTTACCACCGGTTTCGGTTTGTTGAACCATTTCCAAGTGAACTTTATCCTATATTATCAGAAAATATGTTATCTGTCTGTCTGTTGAAATCTGTTTTTCCGTTAACCAGCTGTTGCCCCTTATGAAAGACAACTCTAAAAAGTCGAAACTTGTGCAAGCTGAGGACTAACGAGGTTCTACCTTTCAACGTATGATTCCTAACACGGCTTGGACAAGTGAAAAGTGATCGTCTGGACTTGTGGATCGAACCACTGGTTCGAATATCGGTCAATTGACTGAGTGGTGCTGACTACCCACGTCAACCCACCAGACTACCGTCCTATTCTGGTCAATACTCTCATATAAAATACCTAAGTATGCTGAGTTGAATTTTTTACTTTTCTATTTGAAAATTAATCATAATTATCATAAAATATTTCGGAAAATGCTCTACAAATACAAAATAAAATGTTACACAAATTGTGCATGTATGTTTAAAAACTGTCAAGATATTCCTGAAGGGAATACGTTTCTAAAATGATCAGGGGATCATTAACATATTTTTTCAATTAAGAGTTTTTGAGGTAGTTTATTGAAAAATATAAATGTGTTGAATGAATATGTGTGTCTCCCATAACTTGTGAAAAGGAAAGAACATGATACAATGTGTCTAAGATAATTATGACAAGGGTCTACCTTCCAAGAATCTGCTTTTATTTTTAAGTAGGCATACTTACTACACTTTATGGATATAAATTGCATAATTGTCAGGATAATACTTGCCTTCCTTGAAAATTTCGTACATGGGTGACAAAAGTTTAGTTCAAAAATTACTTTCATAACTATTTTCTGGATAATAAATAAATCAGAGGTGATAATTATTACTTCTTCCCCATTATATCACAAAATTTAAAGGAAGATTCAAAATTCCCAGAATACTTATATGAATTTTTGCAATTTTTCATGATGAAATGTTGGAATTAATGGATTTGTTTAAGTGTTACACTGAAGATGTAAAACCTCCTGTTGAACATGCTATGGGCAATGTTTCAAGTGATGGGCGGAAGGTTATAGGATAAAAAATAATGGATATGTAAACAAAAGGACCAACTTGCCAGTACACGGATAAGTGATACCTTTGAGGGGCAACTAAAGTTGAGCATGCATTGTGTCGGAGACCACATTACTGAGAATATCCAGCTTTTTCTCATGCTGCCTCTCAACATTGAAAAAGTCAAAACTGTCAGGGAAGCGATTGAGGTATTCGTTTCCAAAAACAGATAAGAGGGGATGATTTTATCATAAACATATGCCAGGTCAAAGCGTAGAAGCAAGTACTCTGCGAACCTTCCATTATTCCCATATTGCATTTGAAGTTTTTCCCTACAGCCACAACGGTTGCACAAGATTATCAAGGCTTTAGGGTTTAAATTTGACTTGAAAATTAATTCGATACTGGTTTTGTTAAAAATATAGTCTCCAGAAGAGAAGCAGTAAAAGCCATTCGCCGACATCTACCACGTTGGCACTACGTAATCGATGCCTTCTACATTGGCTACATCCGTGTTACGTGCTATTATCTTCAATCTCATCGACGTTTTGACAAAGTCTCATTTGTCATCATCTGGATATTACTGTTAAGTGTTTGGAAGTCGGTCAACCTTACTCGATCCGCTCCCTACTATACTGGTAAAATGATTCGTGTTTGGAAGTAGACTGTCCTTATACCCTCTACTTTCTACTATATAAATATTGTTGTTGATTTTTACCTGAGTTTCTTGATTAACCTCTTCTTCCCGTAAAGGTTTGAAATGTTAAATCTGAAGTTCTTACAGATAGGAATATGCTGAACTAGTTTCCGGGTTTTGATCTGTGTTATATGCTATTATCTTCAATCTCACCGACATTTCGACAAAGTCTCATTTGTCATCATCTGGATATTACTGTTAAGTATTCGGAAGTGTTCGAGAAAGGTTAATGCAGTCAAGCTGCTGGAAAATAAAGTACTTTTCTTGGTTATTCACATATTGTCTTCAATCGAGGACCGCCTGCCCGGTACTGACGATGCCCAATAGGCTGAAACAGCTGTCTACTGGTGGCTCTTAAATTGAAATCAATATGGGAATGATTATTTCCTTTTGGAATTATTTTTCTGCTTCTATTATTATCAGTTGTTTGTACAATTTCAATAAAATGCGGTTCATTTCATAAAAAAAGGATTTTCACCATCATTTGAATCATTTCCAATCACATCAGTACATTTCCAGCAATGAGTCTATCAATGTAAAAATTTCCATGGCTAGCCATGTGAATAATTGCGGTGAAACGACCTATGGCGGAATAGCGCGCTCGCCTCTCTTTCACCAAACACATGGATGAAAACACACCGGTATTAAATCAGACATCATTCACAGGATGAAAGAGGAAATGAAGGGGGTAAAATTTCACTTATATAATAAAACAATTTCCATATTGCCTCTTCAGCACTAATCTGGATAACACTTTAAAATGAAGCACTCAATTCATTCATAAAATTTCAATTTGATGTCACGAATGAGTTGAATCTACTCATGTCATCGATGACAGTACGCTAAAACATTCTTTGGCTTATTTGTGTAAACTACAGTCATAGGAATCTTGTTTAAATTGAAAGGGTTATATTTTCATGTGAAATTAATTTTTGGGAGAGAAAGGTTTTGGCTTTCTACTTCTCTATCTTCGTACAAAAAATGTAGGCTTCCAGAGAAAAGAAAAAACCACTCAATTTCAAAACTCTATACCAAAATGTTTAGATGATGCAAGGAAGTATCTCTCAGACACAAGCTGCAAGAAAATGCCCTATCTGCAACAGTGGTTGAAAATGATGGACAACACTCATTTCTTTGATTTGAAAAGGGTTATATTTTTAGGAGTGATTAATTTTTGGGAAAGAAAGTTTGGCTTTCTACTACTCCATCTGATACAAAAAAAGGGATGAGAGAATCTTCCAAAAAAAGGAAGGAAGTAATCAATTTGAAAATAAGTAACTCTATACATGGATGTGTAGATCATGCAAAGAAGTAACTTTCAGACACAAACTGAAAGAAAGTCCTCCTGAAACAGCTACTTTCATATAAACATTGAATTACAGGAAAGAAACAAAAATTCTTTCGAAACAAATACTTCTATATGAGTTACTTATTTTCAAATTGATTACTTTCTTTCTTTTTTTGGAAGATTCTCTCATCCATTTTTTTGTATCAGATGGAGTAGTAGAAAGCCAAAAACTTTCTTTCCCAAAAACTCATTTCTTATTCTTATTCATTATGGAAAATCGTATCTCGCTTCACTGAATTATAAGTGTGCTCCAAGAGAGACGGCGAGTGAAAATTCTTGTTTATTTATTGCTTGACAAAAATGGTAATTCTTAATTAAACACGTCTGCTTCATTTGAAATAACTTTTTCTGGTTTGTCAGTGAGAAATAGTTTGACAATTCTTTTACTTGAAATAATATGGTTTCAGTTATTCTGAAAATGTATTAAATAGTTCATTTCGTCAAAATATCTATTCAGATATTTTTGTAGTATTTCTAGCACTTTCAATTTAATTAAAACATAACATGAGATATTATTACATTATTAAGTCTTTTTTAGGCGTTTTCATTGTTGGAGCTAAACGAACCCCATTTGGTACTTTTGGTGGTAAGTTAAGCAAAGTACATATAACTGAACTTCAGACGATAGCATCAAAGGCGGCCTTGACAGCAGCTAATGTGAAACCTGAAATGGTAGACTCTACAATTATTGGAAATGTTTTGACGGTATGGGTAATTCTTAAATACAAAAGTTAGTTTGTTAAAAAGTTGTATTTTTGTTTGTTTTGATTGCTTTTATTAATTTCAGCCCAGTCAACGAATATTTTGTAAAGTGCATGCAATATGCGAGAATTTTTTGATTTAAGACTTCGTTAGTGGTAGTTAGTTGGTAAAATAACTGAGTAGAAATGTTGGGTTTGCTTGACGATCTTTTGAAACTGTTAAGAGGTACAGTGTACAAACAGTTTCGAACATACTAAGAATAACTGGGAGGTGAGCATGAATTGGGAGGGAAGAAAATTATATTTTTGAGTTTTTCGATAATATTTTGAAAACCGTGGACTCCATATAAATATATATTCTAATTGAAAATGAAAGGTAAATAAATCTCCTATCGAAATGTTTATACACATATTATCCAATTTTCCATCGGTTTTCCAGATTAGGTTTTTGAAATTTATAATTTTTGAAAAAAGTTACCTCATTTTGTTGTTTCTTTAATGAATTCGACAATCATGATTGACAATGGAATAGTTGTTTTGGATCAATTCTTGCTTTTTTTAGCAAAGAAATCGGTTCCAGGATTTGAAGAATTATATGCAATATGAATTATGATGAAATTGGCTGATACTTGATCCATAACGTATCAAGGAATACTTCGTTGCGATATTTTCGCTGAACAGTTTACAAAACTGTAAATGTTTCACTATACAATATCTCCCTAAGGAGTGTTCAAATAATAAAGTGTTAGTTAACTAGTTTAGCTGTAAACATGAAACCTGGTCTCTCGACTTTCAACCCATTTGAAGCAGCTTCAAGCAACATGCATTCCAGATATACCACCAATGTGGTTAGGGGAGGAACCTAATGTCAGAGCGGTGAATTAGGTTTGGGGAGGAGGCATGTACTAGTTCCATAACTATCAGAGTTAAATGCTGCACTTGACCAAATTCTCGAAGACGATTTTCTGTCTATGAAAGGATGTGACGGTTGTTGTAGAGAAGCATCTTATTTAACAAATAACGAAGAAGGCAAAATAAATAATAAAATTTATAATTGTAAATTGAAGATTGTATAATATATTTCATTCCATTGCTGAAAACAAATACATCGATGACAGTACACCGATTGCTAATTTTTTCTTATCTTAAATTTTTATAATGTTGAACTTAAGATTTAGTTGAAAATAAAGTACCAAAATATAGGTATATGACATTGAAGCAAATTTCAAGCTCTATAACTTAGTCTTAGAAAATTTTTCTTAGAAATGGTAGTGAAAGACACTAAGAATTTTAGAATTCAGTGGCACCTACGGCTTGATGACTTCGACAATTGTTCAATTCCTAAAGAGATGGGATGAAATCAAAGGATGCAATCTTGCTAGGATCACCCTGGGAAGCTGGCGCCGAAGAAATATCTAGCGATGATCAAGAAAAAATTTACGCTTAACAGTAGGATTTCTGACTGACCACTGTCAACTAAGAATATGGGGCTAGTGGACACACTTCTATGCAGGATGTGTGAACAGAAAGATGAAACCGTCAGGCATGTCCTATGCGAGTGTCCGGAGTTATTGTATTGTGTTTTGTGTGTTCGGCGAGTCTTGGCCTACACCTGCCGATATAAAGATGCCTAGTAGTGATCTGTCCACTTTCGTGGAAAGGACAGGATCGATGATAACTTAGGAGGACAACTCCTTGGGAGGATGTGCAATGGGTCACATGTGTGTGTCACCTTCCTACTCTGCAGATACAGATACTATTGGAATTATGAAATCTGTTAGAAATGTCATCAAGTCCTTGGCAAAACGAACCAAGTGCTTCAAAGAGAATATTGAAAAAAAATTCCCCGAAACACAATGGAAAACCAGCAATGTGCGTACAAACTTTCAAAGATCTTGCCTACACTACCTGTTTCCACATGTACCCCTGAAAGTACTTTCTCTTCTCTAAAACACCTCAAAACTTATTTAAGAAACTCCACAAGCCAGGAACGACTAATCGGTTTGGCGTTAATATCAATCCACCGTAGAATGAACATTGACACCCAGGAGGAAATTAATTTGTTTGCTGCAAAGGAAGCTTGAGAAGTAAATTCGATTTTGTAAAAAGATGTTAATATTTCTGTAATGGTTTTCTTTCTTTCGTTATTTTTATATTTCATGTTTTTCTACTGTTCCACCAAACCAAATTAATTTCGATATTTTTTTACCAAACATGAACTTTCATAAATGCTGATAATCTTGAACTCTCTTGCATTAAAACGATCAAATTTGAAATGGAGTGGAGTGATACTATGAGGATCTTCACTCCGAGTCATAATTTCATTTGCCTCATACAGGGTCTTCAAAAAATGCAGATACTTTGATCTCATGAAAAAATGAGTGGAACTCAATTTTTTCAAATGGAACACCCTGTATATTTCAACATTTTTGAGCTCTACATCCAATTTTAGATTAACTTTGTTCAGATAATACTATTTCTATTTTGAACCGTTTTCGAGATAAACTGTTTC